GAGAGAGAGAGAGAGAGAGAGAGAGAGAGAGAGAGAGAGAGAGAGAGAGAATAGGAGAAAGTGTGTAATTTATGATTTAGTGGGTTTGTGTTTTTTATGGTTATAAGGACAATTTTTTCTAAGGTTTATTTGCCAAATAGCCCCCAAAAAAGGAAATTAGATTTTAGGAGAGAGATAGGAAGAGAAACTAGAGAGTGAAGGAAATTTTGACTATTTTGTGAATTTATGTTTTTTTATCTATAGGGTGCAATTTCTATTTCTCTATGAAAAACTGAAATATATTGGAGATACCCTTTGAATAATTAAGTGTCGATTTGTCGGAAAAAAACTAATTAAAAATATAGAAATTACACTTTATAGACATAAAAAAAAACACAAATTCACAAAATAGCTAAATGTTCCCTCTCTGTCATACTTTCTCTTCCTATCTCCTCTCTACTCTCTCTTCTAAAATTCTAATTTTTGTTTTCTAATTATTTGTCAAATAAACCCTAAAAAATACATATCGTAGAGATTATTGGGCTTGGGCTAAAACTTCAGAAGTCTCTTTTGATCTGCTGATGCTGATTAAGTGATTAGTCAAACGAAGCTCGCTGACATTTATTTTCTCACATTTCCGTTTTTGCCCTTGACAAGGTTAGGGTTCCCACAAAGTTGACTCAGATCGGAGCAAGCTCTCTGTTGCTGATCGAGAATCAAGAAGGAGAAGTGTAATCATGTCTAGGCAAGTCTCAAGGCTTTTCGGATCTCTGTCTCGCCGTTGCTCAAGCAGCCTCAGCAGCAGCTCGGAAGCTTTTCCGACTCTCAGCTCGTTGACACAGTCTCGCTCATTCGCGTCGGATCCTCCGCCTCCAGCTGCCGTCTTCGTAGACAAAAACACAAGAGTCATGTGTCAAGGCATCACAGGAAAGAACGGGACTTTCCACACCGAGCAAGCCATTGAATACGGCACCAAAATGGTAAAGTCTTGACCTTTTTTAAAAAGCTTGTGGCTTTTTTTTTTATGCTAATTATTATGATTGTGTGTGTGTAATTACAGGTGGCAGGAGTGACACCAAAGAAGGGTGGAACAGAGCATTTAGGTCTCCCTGTTTTCAACTCTGTTGCTGAAGCCAAGGCTGAGACTAAAGCGAATGCCTCTGTGATTTATGTTCCTGCTCCTTTCGCTGCTGCTGCTATTATGGAAGGGATACAAGCTGAGTTGGATCTTATTGTTTGTATTACTGAAGGAATCCCTCAACATGACATGGTATTGTATCATATCTCTTTTACTGCTTATTTGCATAGGTTTGTGTATAAAATGTATTCGGCTGTTTTGATTTTGGAACTTTTGTTGTGTCTTTTTTAAGGTACGTGTCAAGCATGCTCTTAATAGTCAGTCGAAAACTAGGCTGATTGGTCCAAACTGCCCTGGGATTATCAAGCCTGGTGAATGCAAGATTGGTATTATGCCGGGTTACATCCACAAGCCTGGCAAGATTGGGATTGTCTCTCGTTCTGGAACCTTGACATATGAAGCTGTAAGCTCTTATCTCTATGGTTTTGTTCTCTCTCTCTCTCCATCTTCTCATATTTTGTTTCAACTTCATTGCAGGTTTTCCAAACAACTGCAGTTGGTCTAGGCCAATCTACTTGTGTAGGAATTGGTGGAGATCCTTTTAACGGTACCAACTTTGTCGACTGCTTGGAGAAATTCTTTGTTGATCCTCAAACAGAAGGTAATGTTTTTGAACTCCGATAAACTGTAAAGATTGTTTCCTAAGTAGATGAACTGTAAAGATTGTTTCCCAAGTAGATTAATTGTAAAGATCAATTCGTAGAAGGACAACATGTTTACCTAATCACTTTAGACTGCAAGATATTCTTATCTTAGAAAGGCTTCTGTTCCTGTAGTTCATCTCTTTTAGAGTAGTTAGCTAAATTAGATTTTGTTTTCTCTATTTTTCTCTGAAAGATGGAAACTAAGAAGAGAGAGCTGTTTGTTTTAGGTATCGTTCTCATTGGAGAAATCGGAGGCACTGCAGAAGAAGATGCTGCAGCTTTGATAAAGGTAATTGAACCAAACTGCGAATCTCTTTCAACTCGGTCAATGTCTCTTTTCTCATTCTTAAAAATAAAAACTCAACTTTTGTTTGTTTTTTTTTGATGAAAATAATCAGGCAAGTGGTACTGAGAAGCCTGTTGTTGCTTTCATTGCTGGACTTACTGCACCACCTGGTCGTCGAATGGGGCATGCAGGAGGTATGTTCATCAGTAAACTTACTTTGGTTCGTTGCTCTCATTATGCTTATCTGGTTTTTGTTTGTTTGTTTGTTGCAGCCATTGTTTCCGGTGGCAAAGGTACAGCTCAGGACAAGATTAAGAGTCTAAATGATGCTGGAGTGAAGGTTGTTGAATCTCCAGCTAAGATAGGAGCGGCCATGTATGATCTCTTTAAAGAAAGAGGTCTTTTGAAGCAGTGAAGTGAATTTCACTAAGCTCACGTGTTTTTTTTCCATCTTGAAACCTTCAAGAAGTAAACAAAAAAAAGAACCCTACTCCCTCGCCATTGATGGGTTGCACACTCTTTGAGGGTTGTTTTTCTAAATCGATTTTCATTTTTTTCTAATTAAAGAGTTGATAATCAAAAGACTAAATAAGTCGATATTGCTTGAAGTTTCTAATAATTTCTACACCACTGCAATATGTAAGTAAGAATAAACACAATGATAGTCTTCATTAGAAATCATTGTCAACATTGAGAGCATCCAAGTGCCAACCAGATGTAAAGCTGCGTAGATCTTCTTGGAGTCAAAATGCGTTTTGTCATGAGCTATGAATCTTTGTGGTGTTCCATCCAATTCAACTATATGTATCCTACAAATGAACATGCAAAAGCAGCAAGCCAACCTCTGGAATCCATAGACAAAAAGCTTTTACTGCTTTATCCAGCTAGCTGATCCCGGTATGCATCTCCGGTTCATACCTTGAATGTCATCTTCAATCCGTATATGAGTTTGAACATTGCACGCACAGCTATGAATAACTCGTCCAGGACTGGTATTGAATACCAAAACTTTCTGACACAAGTTTACGCCACAGACTTTTGTTTACAAACTGGTTCAGATAGTACACCACATCTACCCCATCTACCCCTGGAATGTTATGCGCATACATCTGAAAATAGGTTAAGGAAAACGTTGATATGGATATGTTAGCATCATTAAAAGAAAGGCTAATGTCATTAAGAAGAAAGAGGAAAATGTTGGCCCAAAGCAAATACCTTGTAAAGTGAGCCTGGTCCAATGACATTAGACTGAGAGTAGCAACAAGGAGGTAGCTTCTTATCTGAAAACGCTCTGCAACCCATCTCACTAAATACTTCATTATCAATTCACATCAGGTACAATAGGAAATCTGCCGTCTTTAATCAGACATGTAAGATAACATGAGATCCTATAATCTTCCACAAACTTATTCGCAGCATCAACAGCAAGCAGGTAGTTCCTATCTACCAAAACCGGAAACCTTCCTTTATCAACCATTTCTCTGAATATCCCAAACCCGGCACTCATGTTTCCACTTGACAGTAAAGAGCTTACGAGCGATATGTAAACAGCTGAATCAGGTTCCATTTCCTTGTCTTCCATCTCACGAAAATAAACCAAAGCCTCACTCGACCAACCACACTTGCAAAGACCCTGAATAAGTGCCATGTAAGTAACTACATTTGGACAGCAATCTTTTCCCTTCATTTCATTCCAACGAGAGATTGCTTCACTAGGTCTTCCACTATCACACAGCCCATGGATTAAGCTAGTGTACGTTACAACATCAGGCTCTTTCTCATCCTCATACATCCTCGCAATACAGGACATTGCCCGATCAATCTCACCTTCCTTGCACCATCCATCTATCATACTGTTATAAGTAGCAACAGAAGGTTTTAGTCCTTTTGATACCATTTCGTTAAACAGGTCATCAGCTTCAGTAGTTCGGCATGCTTTACATAGAGATTTTATCAATACATGGTATGCAATCACGTCAGGGGAATGTCCACTGGCACATACGTCTCGGAACAGCTCCAAACCTTTATCCACTCCCTTGTATTTTATGAGACCATCGATCGCAGCAGTATATGCAACCATGTGACCCAAGAAACCTTCTCCAGCCACATCATCAAGATACTTGCAAGCATCAACGGCCCTCCCACTCTCACACAGTTTTTTAACAAGGAAGGTCGAATGCTTTATCCATGGCTCAAATCCATAGAAACGCATCTTTTTCAGCAGGTCTAATGCTCCTGCAACATCGCATTGTGCAGCCAAGCAACCATAAATACAATTAAGTGTGAATTGACTTGGTTCAACTCTCATTTTCCCCAAGAGTTTCAAGCTTTCTTCTGACCTTCCTTCTTTACACATCCCCTCAATTATGTTGTTGTACATCAGAAGACTTGGAGTAAGGCCTTTCTGAACAATATTATGTAACAAGCTCACTGCTATATGCACCTCATTAGCTTTGACCAAACAGTCAATCACACTACCAAGACAATCCAAATCTGGGAGAATTGCTTTGTTGTGATCCTTTAGAAGCTGTATAATCATAGACTCTCCACAATCAAACTCATTATTTCCCATGAGGTTCTGAATAAAATTGTAAGCATCATGAACCAAACCATTCCCAATAAACCCCTCCAACAAAGTTTTATAAAGAAGCATCACAGACTTTGTATCTATGTCTCCAATAATTACTTCTGTTACCCTACTTAACTCACTTTCTTCAGAAAAAGAACGTATTAGCTTCCCAAGTATTCCTCTATCAGGTAAAACCCCTAACCTCTTCATCTCCAAATACAAACTCAGCGCCATCTCAACATCTTTTTCCTTGCAAACCCCTCCTATCAACACATCATACAACGCAATATCACCACTCATACCCATCCCACGCATCTTCTCAAACAACTCAAGTGCTTTATCAACCCTCTTCTCCTTTACAAACCCATGTATCAAAACACAGTACGTCTTATAATTCAACCTAATCTCCCGTTCCTCCAACATCTCAACCAACTCAAAAGCCTTATCCACCTGTCCCCACTTACAAAACGACACAACCAAGACCGTCCCAACATGTTCATCAAGCCAGCCTCTACTAAGCATCTCGTTAAAAACACTCAACGCTCTCTCCGCCTCCCCGGACCTGCAGTAAACCTGCAAAACCGGCGTGAGAGTAAACTTATCGAAACGAAACCCGCAACGCCTCATCTCCTCCAACTTCCTCTCAACCAAATCAACCGAACTCGACTTAGAAACCGCTTCTAACAAACAGTTGTAAGTATACACATTGGGTACACAAAGACCCATCTCTCTAACTCTATCAAAAACAAAACTTGCTTCTTCCACAAGTCCAGCATTACCCAAACACCTAATGAAAAACCCTAAACCCCCTGGAGACATCAAACAGCGAGAGTTTAAAACATCTCCAACCAAAGCTTTCAGTGAGGCATTTTGTCGAGCACGTGATAGGATACAAGCCATGGCGTTGTAAGCATACATATCGTTCTTATAGCGTTCTTGTTTAGACGCCCAATTGAAGAAGAGGTAAGCCAAGTTCCACCTATTGAATCCGTTTAAGACGGTTTCGACTACTTTGGTGTTGAGTTCTGGAGCGAGACGGAGAAGCTCAGGGTCGTCTGGGGAGAATGGTTGTTTTGTGAAGATTGTGATTAGGGTTTGGGCGAGGTGGGATTGATTGGGAGGGAGGAAGGTTGTGTTGTCTATTAGCTGCTTCGTGGTGAATGGTCTGAAGAATCGATGGTGAAGAAGATGAGCGATTCTCGAGAAGGCCATTAGAGTAAACGTTCGGACCAAAAACCCTTTTTGGACTGTGGTTTTGTTTTTTCTAAAACCTCTCTGTCGCTGGCACCTGAATCTGAACGCCTTATTTTGACAAATCTAATTGGAAACGTGGTTTTTGCAAACGTGATTTTGAGTTGACAAAAGTCAACCTGAAATATATCTTTGTGAATTATTTTTGTTTTATTCTAATTCGCTGTATATGAATACATTTTTATACAGGTAACAGCAATCTGTTTCAAAAAAAAAAAAGAAAAAAAAAAGTAACAGCAATCAAAACATAGAACAAATAGTAATAAATATTGCATTTTGAGAAAATAAAAATATATACATTTACTTTTTTTTTTCAACAGAAGCTATACCAATCCTAATCAATAAAGGGGAATTAGGCCATATAGCAAGACAATAACTCATAATTTGCCAAATAGCTAAAAACCCTCACGGATCCACTCACGCCGTCTGTTTTCTATAATAATACAATATTATCCCTGTATTCAACCGGTTTCACCGGCAATAGAAAAAAAAAATTTAATTTTCTTTTTTTGGTCTCCAATTGTAAATCGTGTCTTACCATAGTCCACACTTTCTTTTCACATATCCCAATAACTTCTTAGAAAGTGAAAAGCCTCCCAGAACACTTCCACTGAACCCGTCGAATCCCTCTCCTTCTCCGCGATTTTTGACATCTTCGTCCTCGTTATAACCCACCGGATCTACTCAGCTACATCAATCGACAAGGAGTCCTTGGTGTGTACTCCGCAGGGCCGGCGCCGTTATCAACTACATCTCTGAAACTCCATTCTTCTCCGATTACTGTCGGTAAGTTCTCCGGTTTCTTCTCTTTATCTCATGCTATTGTCAATTCTATTTCTAGTTTCTATTGGGAATTAGAGTTTTGTTGTTCTTAAACCTATAAATGTTAAATCTACAACATCGTCTGAAAATGATATCATCTTCGTTAGGTATATTCCATTTGACTTGGAATAAAATATAATATTGACGTTTATATTCTATTTGACTTGGAATGGAATAAATTTGAACGTTTAATATCACCAGTATCTCCGTAGAAACCGTCTTCTTCTCTGCGACATTCATAGCTACTGTCCATCATCGCCCTCGGCTCAAGTGAAACGTCTCGGAGAACACGGCAACTTCATCCCGCCAATCCGTCTTTCTCTCCCAAATTATTCGTCTCTGTCGTCTTACGCACCTTCCCCATCTCCTCCGGTACTTGAATTGTAAGCTTCCTCTGTCTCTACTCCACGTCCCCAAAAATGTAAGTTCTCTCTTTCTTCTGTTCACTCTCCTATTAGTTTCGTATTATTCCTCTGTACAATTGGGTTGGCCACTGCATGTACATGTCTCTACTCCGCGTCCCCAAAAATGTAAGTTCTCTCTTTCTTCTGTTCACTCTCCTCTTAGTTTCGTATTATTCCTCTGTACAATTGGGTTGGCCACTGCATGTACAGTTCTCTCGTTGTCATAAGTAGATCCATACCTGTTTGGTGTATTCCAATTTAAATGGAATAGAAATTCATAAAATTCCAGACCTTTGGCGATTTTCTATGTTATTTACTGTTTTTACCGACATGAAAAAACTAAAATTCCAGACCTTTGCATATTCTATTTGAAATAGAATAGAAANTTGAGACATATTTATAACCATGTTTACCTCTTACTTTGTTCTTCAGTTTGGCATGGACTCAATTGTGGTGAAATAGTTGACTTTTACCGACATGAAAAGACTAAGGTCTTGCGCGAGAGAAGAGAACCAGAAGAGGTTTTAATCTTGTTGTTGTTTCATGTTTTATTGACATAAGTTTTGTATCAGTACATATATATATATATATATATATATATATATATATATATATATATATATATATATATATATATATATATATATATATATATATATGTGTGTTTTATATTAGTGTGTATATGATTTTTTAAAGAGAAACAATATTTTGGACGTAAAGATTAGCATTTTAACATAAGAAAGGGGTTAATCGCCAATGTATTAGGGTTTATATTGTCTTAATTTTTGTTTAGTGATTAGCGTCCATACCCTTTTAATTGACAATTTATGGGGTTTATACAAAAGTATGAGATTAAGGTGAGAATATGAAAAAGATTATCATAAGGAAGGGGTTAATCGGCAATGGATTGGGGTTTATATTTTCTTAATATTTGTTTAGTGATTAGCGTCCATAGCATTTTAAATGTGGTATATATTTTGATAGCATTTTAACATAAGAAAGGGGTTAATCACCAATGTATTAGGGTTTATATTTTCTTAATTTTTGTTTAGTGATGAGCGTTCATAACTTTTTAAATGACAATGTACTAGTCACTTTCCTAACCTACCTCCTAATACCGTATGTAGTAATCCTAATTAATAAAAAAAAACGGAATGGAACATATGAATTGGGGTTTATATTTTCTTAATATTTGTTTAGTGATTAGCGTCCATAGCATTTTAAATGTGGTTTATATTTTGATAGCATTTTAACATAAGAAAGGGGTTAATCGCCAATGTATTAGGGTTTATATTTTCTTAATTTTTGTTTAGTGATGAGCGTTCATAACTTTTTAAATGACAATGTACTAGTCACTTTCCTAACATACCTCCTAATACCGTATGTAGTAATCCTAATTAATAAAAAAAAAACGGAATGGAACATATGAATACAAAAACGGAATGGAATGGATGATTTAGTTATAATGGAATAGAAATAGGTAAACTGTTTGAAGATTATCATAAGAAGGGGTTTAATCGTTAATGGATTGGGGTTTATATTTTCTTAATTTTTGTTTAGTGATTAGCGTCCTTAGCATTTTAAATGGGGTTTATATTTCCATAGCATTTTAACATAAGAAAATGGTTAATCTCCAATGTACTAGTGTTTATATTTTCTTAATTGTTGTTAGTTATTTTATTAATTTTCTTTTAAATGAAAATTTATGGGGTTTATACAAAAAAGTAAATGGGGGCACTAAAAGAAAGAGATTAAAGTGAGAAAAAGAAAAATATTAACCTAATCTCTATCCCACCTACTAATACTGTATGTCGTAAGCCTACTTAATAGAATAATAGAATGGAACATATGAATATAAAAACGGAATGGAAGGGATGACCTATGTAGAATGGAACAGAAATAGTTAATATTAGTTAATATTAGTCTATATATGATTTTGTAAAAATAAATGATATATTGAAAGTAAATGGAATATAATTTATTATGTCATCAGATAAAACATAATACAATGTGATGTTGAATGAGAATGACATTCATATAGAATAGTAATGCATGTAAGTTCTATTCTCAGTTATGTTAATTTTTGTTTTAAAACATGTATACTTATTAGCCATTCATTTTGCTGCATTTGCTGACATTATATGTGTGAAATACAATTGAATTACACGTTTCATATAGGTATGTGATTGTTAATAGGGAATTCATATGCCGCAAAAAAATCACCACGTAGCTTACTATAAAAAGTGTAACTGGCTACCTGTTATGCAAAGGGACATAACCGGATGAATTATGGTCAAAAAGCCTGACATTAAATTATGTCAAAATCAGTGCTACTCACCTAATTTGTTACTCAAATATGGTCATTTCGCCAATAAGCCCATCAATAAACCTGGAAACCCACTTTTTGATGGAACCAAATAGACCCATGGTACAAGAGAGAATCCGAGCACTTGTTATCCATTGTATTTTATTGCCTTTATAATATGTTGACTTATAATCTTAAGAAAAAAACAAAAACACATAGATACAACGTTGGACTTAAACATGATCTACCATGTCCATGTGATTATTGCAGTCTTTGTAGAGTTTGCATCAATCTCAGGGCTACTACTGGGTCTGAAGAAAACAACTTTATATATTGCAGGCATTACAGAGTCGAGGCTGATATTCTTGCATATTTCCATTTGGTTCAGGCTTGTTAACGGTACGCTACCTCGAACCAGGGTCGGTCCTGGCCAAGCGTTCAAATATTCATCTGAAGTTCTCGAAATTTTTTAAAAATTTATATGTATATAAATCCCCAAAAAAAATAATTTTTTGGCATCTAAATTAGTTAGAAAAATATTTTAGCTGAAATTTTTTTTAAAATTGTCTAGGACCTCTAAAATTTTAGGGTCAGTCCTGCCTGAAACTATCTCTTCTAACCAAAAGAATGACACTGAATGATTATCTACCCATAGTTAAAAAAGTGAGATGAAGAATGAGATCATGGATATGAGATTATTGTCTTATTCGGCAAGTTACAGCTAATTAATTCGGTTATTATAAGTCTTGTTAACTTTTGGTTGGTCGCTTTCAGACAATTCTAAGTAGTTGTCTAAAAGAGATTGAGAGTTTATATTCTGCCTTTCTTTGGTTAGACCCTGAATTGATAACAAGTAAAGCCAAGGTTGGTTGGAAAAACATTAGTTTACCGAAGAAAGAGGGAGGATTGGTGCTAAGACCAAATATATATATCATAAATTCAAATTCATAACTCATACAAATATAGATAACACGACAACACACAAAAAAAGAAGGAAGTAATCGTACATGCATGATTTTTTCATGATTTTGTGTCTTAACAATAACAATGGCATTGTCCTCCATGAATACGTTTGCAGAAACCTCCTTTTCGATTGCTACATCCAGCAAGGCACCAACTGTTGCATCTCCTGTTGTCATGGTTTGGGTCGCACTTCCCAAATTTCGGGTGAGTGTTGCAACACCTAGAATTATCTTCTATCACATATCCTTCAACATCTGCCAATTATATACACACAAAATACATTATTAACACTAAAAGTTATTAAAACATCAATTTTTATATCAATAATTTTAGGGTGTAAACACTAAACATGATCGTACCAACGCAGAAGAAAAGGACAAGAAGCAAAGCAAAAGAAAAAAACTTCAGAGTGGTCATTGTTACTCTTTCTTTTTAGCTTTTGTAATAGTGTTTAAACCTTGTTTGTGTTGATATAAAAAAAGTGATGTATATTTTACTCTTATTTATACTGGATGGATTCTACATTTTTCTGATCTGTTCATGAAAAAAAAAAAAAAAACTAACAGTTTAAATCTAAAGTCAAACAAACTGAAATTTTATTCTATTTCTACTTACATTTGTATGTTGACTATATATTAACATTCCAAAAGAAAACAAAACAAATTGCGAAAGTCAAAGCACTATGACTTTCAGTTATGGAATTATTCAAATAAAATTTTGAAATAGATAATTGTTAACTTTTATGATTCAAACATATCTACTCTTCCTGCAAAAACGAAAAACGAGAAAAGCAAACAAAATGTGAATTGTTCTTAAGTTATAAGGCCCATTAATCTTTTGGGCCCAAGTACACTTACTTGCTTAGAAGACCCCTCCGAAACTCAAACTTCAAGTTTATCGTCGTCTCCTTCGTCGGCAGATATTACGATTTGCCGGAGCTTGAGGCTGAGCAACCAGCGAAGATAAAACCCTAACTAGTACCATGAATTCTCCGACTAATTCACAGAAAACGGGTAAAAGAATAACTTTTAGGCCATTGGAATCATTCGATTCTTATTCTGTTTATTCATTGTATCCTGATTATTCTAGGGTTTCTTGCAATTACTGAGATTAATGTTCCTGTTTGATACATAATTCTTGTTTTAGTGAGAGTTTATGCAATTACTGTAAATTGGTTTGATGAGTCCTTTTTGCTTCCTACTTTGTAACAGTTTCGGACGACGATGAGATTGATTACTCTATCAAACCGGAGCTCTATGATTCAGATCTTGATGATAAAGATGAGCAGTGGATGGCTAAGAAAAGAGATGGACGTACTTCTGATGCTGTGCTTAGCTGTCCTGCTTGTTTCACCACCGTCTGCTTAGAGTGTCAAAGGTGATTTCACATTTTTTTCTCTGAACGTTTTGTTGATTCATTAGAAACGAATTGAATCTTTAGTTTTCTCAATGTTGCTAGTAGTTTAGGTTTAGCCGCTTAGGGTTAACTTGTGTGTTTGATTCCTGGCTCTACATTCTTAGAGCATGATTAATAGGAGGTTCTTAGGGTGGGTTTCTTAGCGTAATATAAGAAACCATATCTTAACTTTTAATTAGAAAAGGCTAAGAACCGATATTTAAGAACCGGTTCTTAGTTTTTTAGTTAAGAATCGCATCTTAAGAACCTCCCATTAATCATGATCTTAACATGACTGTTCTAATAGGAACCAGACCGATACAACAAGTCTTTGATTAAATTAGAAGATCTGTATTCTCAACTTGCTTCCTTTTAAAATCATTTACCTCTCTAGCTAACGGTTGTTGCTGATCTATAAATACAGCTAGAATCCACTACTTTGACTAGTTACAATGCTCATGCGCTAGACTAATATACAAGGACTTATCACACAACTCTCTTAGGATAGCAAAATGGAAGATACGATGAAGAATATGATCTTATTGTTTCTGTCCTCTTCAAACCTGCTTGTTGGTTTTGGGGGACTTGTGTAGGTAGGAACTTTATTAGTTACTATTAACTTTACTAATGAAACATTTGGATTCTTTTGTAGGCACGAGCAGTATGTGACACAGTACAGGGCAATCTTTGTGGTCAATTGCAAAGTAGATAAAGATAGAGCTTTGCAATACAATGCAACTCCGTCAAAGGTTGGGAAACGAAGGAGAGATTCTGAGGAGAAAGAAACTCATTCTGCTGAGAGCGAGAGAGTGAACTCGGTCGTTTGCTCAACTTGTTCGACAGAGATCGGAGTCTATGACAGTGAAGAGATCTATCATTTCTTCAATGTCATTCCAAGCGAGCCTTAGAAACTTTTACTTTATGAGTTTCCTGTAAAACATGGTTTTATGTTACAGTAGTTTGAGTCCTAACAACAAACATATGAAACAGAACAATGCCTAGCCGCAAAACGCAAAGTAAAGAATCGGTTTTTAGGCTTTTTAGGCGTTTACGTTTTCTATAATGGTCACAAACCAAAAGTTTAATCCAATGTTACTGTAATGGGATGGGAGAGAAAGAATGAACGCCTTATTTTCAGCAAAAGTCTAAAGATAAACTGATCCTCCGAGTCATAAACATGAGATGACGCGGAACATTCTCATTGGTGGAGTAGACAAATAAAATCTAATACGTAGCAAATAAAAAAGTATCTTTGTAAACACTAGTTGATGCTCTCTTTTGGCAGAAGTGTAACTGTCTTATATTTTGGTCCACAAGCAAAAATGAGAATGGGCTCCAGCTGTTTACCACATTTGACAATTGCCAAATGATTCGTACACCCTATAGATAAGTTTAAATAGTGTTTCATTTTTGGTAATTAGGTGATCATTAGCAATTAGTGCTTAAATTTTACATATGCATTTATCCAGCTAACTCATATCTAATCATTTAGCACATATTGTAGTAGATGCTTCATTTAAACAACAAGGATAGCCAGACTCATGCCTTGTTATGTATGAGCATGTTAGCACGACACATGCATTGACAAGTAATTAAGCCGTTATAATTGAACAAATTTGTTGCAAGGCACGACAGTTAATCATAACATCTTTTTGGTTAAAGAGCTTCACAATCATCACAAATATCAGTACGATAATATAGTATAATGAAATAATAAAGAAGGTAGATAAAATTATGGGATCTCTAAAATTATTGACGAAAAATAATTAAAAAAATCTCGACGCAACGACATATCACAATCGAACGTATCTGCCAGGTAGATACAGCTACATTTTTGTTGTTACGCTCCAAAAGGATTAATTCTTGATAATCCTTTAATGGTAATACGAATTATATGATTACGGTTAATCAAATTGCACACACGAATGCTATCACATGGTTGGAATGGTTGTAAAGTTCGCAATTGTCATATTACTGGAACCATTTATTCTAGAACACACAAAATATGACAATTAATCAGAAGTTTTTAATTTATGTGAAAATTAATACTAGTATTAAATTATGAAAATCATAAATTGTAAACCTAAAAAAATTAAATTCTCCTGCCGGGGACACTGGTCCCCACGCCACAGTCAACACCGGAGTCAGCGCGTGAACGCAAAACGTGTTCAGACAAAAATACTCAGCAAATAAATAAATAAATAAAATAAAAAAACCTTCACGGTAATGAGCTGTGTGGGACCCATCCCACCATGTGCCCTCCTTCCTGTCTCCACCAGAGCTTCCTCTGCTACTCTTTTAAAGTTTTAAAATCGTACACCCTCTCAACCCTCTTCTTCTTGCTCCTCCTCCTCGTCTCGACAAAACCTATGGAGAACAACGACGGAGGAGCAATGACTAACGGCGTCGAGCAGACGTTAACAACCACCAAAGGACCTCTTAACGCCGTGAAGAAACCACCGACCAAAGACCGTCACAGCAAAGTCGACGGTAGAGGGAGGAGAATCCGTATGCCGATCATATGCGCAGCTCGAGTTTTCCAGTTAACCAGAGAGTTAGGTCACAAATCCGACGGCCAAACCATCGAGTGGCTTCTCCGTCAAGCTGAGCCTTCCATCATAGCCGCCACGGGAACAGGCACAACTCCCGCGAGTTTCTCCACCGCTTCTTCTTCCCTCTTCACTCTCGGAAAACGCGTCGTGAGAGCCGAGGAGGAGGGAGAATCAGGCGTTGGAGGAGGAAGAGAGTTAACGGTTGGACCTACGATGGGAGCTTCGGTGATGAGTGGCGGCGGTGGTGGGTTTTGGGCGGTTCCGGCGAGGCAGGATTTCGGACAAGTGTGGAGCTTTGCGGGTGGAGCTACGCCGGAGATGTTGTTTACACAACAGCAGCAAGCGGCTACACTCTTTGTCCGCCAGCAGCAGCAGCAACAGCAACAACAAGCTTCGGCAGCTGTGGCTGCAATGGGTGAGGCTTCAGCAGCTAGAGTGGGGAATTATCTGCCAGGTCATCATCTTAATCTGCTGGCTTCTTTGTCGGGTGGGAGTCCCGGGTCGGGTCGAAGGGAAGAGGATGACTCACGTTGAGAAAAAGGTTTCATCTTTTTGTGCTCTTTGAGTAGGGATATTTTGGGTAATGATGTATAGTAAACTCATATGTTTTATTGTGTCATCGAGAGTGGTCAGAGACTACTTTAGTTTGTGTCATTTATGCTAAAAATTTTAGTTGAGTTTTAAGGTTATTGCTTGTTTGATTAGGATTTAAGAATATTTGGTCTGGGAATTTGTTTCTGAGAGAGAGAGAGACAGTGAGAACAATTGATTGATTGATTGTTGTTACTAAAGACGCCATAAAAGAACAGTAAAAATTCTTTTATGGTCCTCAACAATGAAGTTGAACCCACACGAATTATATTGACATCTCACAGGTCAGTCCTGTCAGAGGATTGTAATTCTGAATGTTTCTCGTGACTACTATGAATGAGAACTGAAGATATGAAAACAAAAAGAAAAGTGATTTTTTTTTTCTCTAAGTTTCTTGTGAACTGGTGATCCTTCTCTTTTTTTTTTTTTTTGCTAAATTGTAAATGTCATTGCAATAATGAAGGTTTGGTTACATGTTAATACAACCACAATCTGCTTTACAGCCATTCTGAAAGCTGAGAGGTGCAAAAAAGTTTAAAAAAACCCCTAAACCCCAAAGAATTATGATCAAACTGAACCAAAACAATGGAAGCTTGAACATAATACCAAACTAGAACAAAGACAAACAATTGATCTCCCCCTCCTTAGCACTTCTTGTATTACTGGAGCAACCAGATACAACAAGAGTAAAGCCATAAGAGAAGTAAAGACAGGTCTCACCGAAGTGGCTCCAAGCAGGCATCGACGGCGACGGCTGGCTCCCATCCCGGAGCTCCGCTGGAGGAGGACGCTGACCAACAAAACTCAAGCTTGCTCGGTAAATGCTAACATGTGCACTTCTCTTTTTTTTTTTTTTAACTGCAAGTTTGTATGTAACTTTTGTGCTTACTCTCCCTTTTTTTTCGTAAAAAAACTTCTCTCGTGTTTTTTTTAAAGTTTGATTAGTTGGTAATACTAAAAAATGAGTATTACACACATTCTGAAAGGAAATCTTGGAAACCGTCACCCAAAGACAATAGGATTGTTGCTAATGTTTTAGACCGAACCACACAAGCGGTTTTCTTGTTGCGGTTTAACCGGATGAAAATTGCTCGGTGCCTTGGACTGTAAACGGCAGCTGTACAAGGAAGAGGATAAGAACATTGTCTCCAAAATTACTAATCTCTATTTAGAGATAAAGGTATAGTACTAATTAAGAGCGAGAAGCATGGTAGGGAGGGGTTATTGCTCTGTACTATATGTTTTGTCTCCCCAAGTTTCTTGGAAAACGTTAATTAGTTTAAGCCCAACATATCATTACTAATTTAAACCGGAAAAAACTGATCGAAACTAATTAACCGATCAGTTTATTTTCACACAATGAAGGAAAATGATGTTTCATGGATTTTATTAGGATGTGTTAATAACATCATAGTGTTTTTTTTCAGGTCTTGTAATAGAATCAATGACAGAGATCTTTAGTGACACCGTATTCAAACAGTTAACACAAATGTTCCTGGCGATTATCTTCTTCCACATATCAGAATACATTCTCGCCTTAGCCATCAACGGAGCATCCAAAGTTACTCTAAGCTCACTTTTGATCACCAAACACTATGCTTTAGCAATGCTAGTCTCAAGACTCAGGGGTCTCAAAAGACAGAGGGGAAGTCTCTTCTACAAGTCTCTTCTACACTTGTGACAAGAATTTTTCTACTGAAATTGTCATATTTGTCAGAATATTCAACAGATAAACAGAACATCAACAGGCATGAAGAATCTGCTGCGTCCTGGTTGGGAAGACTCATGTTCAGGCACAGCGATTTCGACCTGTTTATGGCTGAGAAAATCAAATGACGACCTGCCACCTCCAAGTGGGTGGTAACAATCTCTGCATTGACCTATTCATGTATCTTCCAGGTCTATAACTATCATAACGCCCTGTGGACCATGTGGTGTTGGCGGTTGAATAATAAGTCTGGTTGTGGTATCTTGTTATCATGAAACATATAGATGAAAACTTTTCAAACATCTGTATTCTTTTGTTTTTATGAGAGAGACTTGACATAACTCTAATTTATTCTTATTATTATTATAATGTTATTTGGGTTGATCATTTATGATGCTTGCTTCTCATACAACAGAGTAAGTACATAGAATGACTAGGAGAGAATTGGTACAATCTTCAGGCTTCCAAAGTATTTTGCTAGGGATCAGGTTTCACTTGATTGACTCTAGCTGTATAACAGTATCTTAAGCTTTGCGTTTGGTGAGAGTATACATTTTGCAGGCATGAGGCTCCACTAAGGCAGTTAGTTGCTTTCTAACACCCGAGTGAGTTGAATGCTGCATTATTCAAAGTATTCATGATTAGGTTTCAGGTGTGAGTAAATAGTAATGCATAATGAGATTCTGTGGTTTGTATATTCATAAGTTACCGCCCATAAGTCACGAGCATTAACAATAGCTGATGAATGGAGGCCAATGTCTTCCCATCGAGCTGTGATGTTTGCAGGTAATAATCCTCTGTTCCATAGGATGACTGCTACTCGTTTCTTGCTTAGAGGACCTGCCCATACCTGCATTGATTGCACCATGCAAGTTATGTTTATGTGTTCATATAGTTTGTCTTTGGTGTGTGCATAAGTATATTACCTCAAGATCACCATATTTCTTGACTTTCTTTCCCTGGATCCCAAGCTTGTCTGAAAGTAAAAAGCTAAAGCTTCTTAGTACCACTTTTGGATTCTACATGAGCAAATTCTGAAAGTATTTTAAGAACATTTTTTTTTTAAATATTAGTTACCTTGGTTGACAGCAATCACCTCTTTGTTGCTAAGCAACTCAAAGGTGACTTTGTCCATTGATCTAAGATCACACCCAATCAGCAGAGGAGCCTGCAAGAGAGAAGCACAGAGCCAAAACATTTATACTATCTTTAGGGGATTCAAAATAAACAACATTCAATCATCATACTTTTGCCAATGCCCATATGCTGAAATGTGATCGGTACTCTTCTCTAGTCATGCCTCCATTTCCCACTTCAAGCATGTCTGGATCTGTTTCAGTTTTGTACCCGGATAATGATATTACTTTCTCGGTAAAACCACTCACAATGCACAACTGTTAGTTAAATTAAGAAAATTATATACCGTTCCATGATCCTGGTCTTGCGTAAGATGCCCATCTATCATTCTGATCTGCTATTGTTATCATGCTAATAAGCATACACACATACACAAAAAAGATTCATCTTCAAGTTTCTTGTTCCATTGAGATTGCAAAAAAGGCATACAAGAAGAGAAACCTGTTCCAATTATCTTGGATATCTCCTGTTGTTCTCCAACTGTTACCAATATCTCCAGCCCAAGTTGCTGGATCCTCTTGTCCCCTGCACTTGCAACTCAGTTTCATCATCAGACAAAAGTTGTCTTAAAAAAAGTCCATGACTTATATTCTGCTTCTTACCATTCACACAAAGAGAAGAATATAGATCTTCCTGACTTTAGCAGAGCTTTGCTCATCTTTGGGTATCTTTCTTTTGGACTTGTCTCTGTGTTAAAGCAGTTATCATACTTCAAGTAGTCAATCCCCTGTGGCGCCATAACAAAAAGACCTTCAAGGTTTAGGAGTTGAGCTCAAATAAAACACACACATAAATACATACATACCCATGAGGCAAATGTTTTGGCATCTTGTTCCTCATGCCCCAGAGATCCCGGCATGGTTTGGCTGCAGGTAAAAGTCCTAGAAATCCAGAAAAAATAAGATAAACAAAGAAACTATCAACTATGTAACATTCTCTTGTGTGTGTAATATATATATATATATACCCAGCATCAGAGTAGATCCCAAGCTTAAGCCCTTTGCTATGAACATAATCTGATAAAGCTTTGATCCCTGAAGGAAAAGTTGATGCTTTGGCAACCAAGTTTCCCTGTCAAATACAACACAAACATATCTCAGCTTAGTTCTTAGACTGTATGAAAACAAGCAGTATCATTCTTCTTTTGGTGTTTCTTTAACCTTGGCATCTCTCTTAAGTTCACCCCAACAATCATCTATAACACACACAGAAAAAAACAGTTGACATGAATAAGAAAACAGAGAGATGAGAAAAAAAAAATCAGAGTAATAAACACCAGAAAATGGTCTTCTTTGTTTACCTATGTTGATATACTTGTAACCTCTTGCAGATAGACCACTTGAAACCATTGCATCAGCTGCAGAGAAACTCAAATTATTGTTAATCAATTAATCAACATATATATCAGATTTCTTTTCTAAATAATAGAGAATGAGTAATCACCGGTTTGCTTGATGAGAGTTTCATTGATGTTACACTGAAAATGATTCCAACTATTCCATCTGATAAAGAAAGGTAAAATCATTAGAGATAAGTAAGTAACTTGCGAGTCAAGGAAATGAAATCAAATGAAAACCAGTGAAGAGGATCAAACCCCATTTGAGGAGTGAGAGCAAGTCCATTGTTCATCAACATTCGACTCTGAAACCCATCAACGAGCTGAGTCAGAGTCAGAGTGACAGTAATGATCCGTATGAAGTAACCAAGAAGAACCATTGCTTGTATCAAAGTGGGTTCTCTAATGAATGTTTTGATGGTTAAGGTGAGAACTGTGGGATCATAGCCAAAGATCTGTGTGTGTATATAGACACACGACACAGACACTGTGCCTGTCCTGTCTCCATAGCAATTACCAAGCGGGTCGTTTACGTTTCATATTTTAAATTTAATTTTAGTTTTACTATTGGTTTATTCAGATACAGAATACATTTTTTTCAGAGGAAGATGCACATAAGGAATATTTTAAGTTTTGGATTAACCCACGTTGTGACGGATACTGCCATTTAGATCCAAAATACAGAAAACAGAATCCTTCACGCATTTCAATGAATTTTTATTGTCATGATCCAGTTGAACTCTAGTAGACACAATCGAATATTTTGTATGGAAATACAAATTTATATTTATTTAGTTATATAGTTTGAACTCATACATGTTGATATGCTAGAAAATTATATTACAAATTTGTCAAACTACACCACTAAAAAGATTTGAAGTGTGATGTTGCACTTGTGAGCCCAAACTTTGGTTCCACATGCATGTCATTGTCAGTGACCATAATTTTAGTGGTATATTAAAAGCTGGCCGTGCTATCTGACTGTGATATTTGATATTATCATGATTTGTGAAACCAAACATATTATATCACTACGTGATTTTTCCGTGCTTATGCACGGGTATAAATATTCATAAAAATAAAATTTTATAATAATTGATTGATATTTAGTTTTAGTTTTGTATCAATTTATATGTATAATTTATATTAATAAATATTATATTATTCTAATTATACATATGACTTTGAATATATTATTGTCAGTTTAATTATTTTTTTGGATCAATAGGCCGTTTGGTTATCAATTTGGTATATTGGATAATATTTATTTTTCGAATTCAGCTATAATATTTTTATTGTAAATATAATAAAACTTTAATTAATTTTCTTATTTTCATTTCGGTTGGTTATTGTCTTAGATATGTAAATATATTATAATTAAATTATATATAACTTAATATATATAACTTAATATTTATATATATATATTGTGCTTAAACTAAAATAAATAATAAGCTGAAGTGTTTGATTCAAAATTACATAAATGAATATAATGATAATATTTTGAAGTCTCATGCATATATATAAATTCTACAAAAGAATAAAATGTAATTGGTTAATATTTTCTTTTTCTTTTTAATATGCTTTGAGTCAACCTCTAATTTATATATAAAATTAAATATATTATTATTACTATAAAATTATATGTTCTTATTGTAGTTAGATGTTTAATTTTGGATATAAATTAGATTAGTCGAGTCATTCATGTTGTGAATATATTGAGTTAAAATTGAAATATAATTACTTTTTATTTTAGTTAAGTCCAATCAAATTAGTTATATTTATCGCTTAAATATACATGTATTTTCATAATATTTATTTATTTCTTATTTTAGTTAAGTCAAATCAAATTAATTTTATTTATCGTTTAAATATACAAGTATTTTCATAATATTTATCAAATTATATGTTGATTTCTAAAAAATATTAGAAAATAAAGTATAACTGATAAATTTTGGATGTTCATGAACATATATATTTTTATTATTTTGAAAATATATTATTTGTTATTTAAAAATATATATTAATGGGGTATATTACTATTTTGTGAACTTTCCTTTTTAATAAAATCATATTATATATATATATATATTCGTTTTTAAATCTGTTTTAAAATTTTAGAAATATTTCTTTTTTATTATATATATTATTTGGAAAAGGTAAAAAAGAAACTAAATAAAAAAATTAATAATAAACTTAAAATCTAACAATTCATTAAGGGTATCTATGTAATCAACCATCGCAATAGTTAACGTGAGCGCGACACGTAGGAAACTGACTTCTCAAATAATATTATAGAGATGTGACCGATATACATACTCCTACCTATTTGTCTAGACTTCAACTACTGTAAATACATCACAACCTGTTCCTATTTAGGTTAAAACTTGCCAAAAAAACACAAATATAGATAGTGATCTTAGTATTTTTGATCTATTAATTGCAAAAATCACTAAAACATGATTTAGTTTAATAAAGAACATATATAAAGCCACACAGACACAGTAGAGTATGCTCTACGGTAAAAGTCTTTTAAGTCATTGAAATGATTGAGAGTCTCCCTCAAGTGGACGGACGCACATTTAATTTGACTTGTGTCTTACGCCAAACACAAAAAGAAAAGCAAAGAGTTCATCATCATTTTTTTGTATATACCATTACTTAAGGAAAGAGCTCATCATTATACAGATACACATTTAGTTAAACAATTTAACGTTGAATATATTTCTCAACTGGAGCAAACGTGGAACACCTTATTGATAGAAACTGTTATTGTTTTCTAACAGAACAATTGGATATTATTACATCATGCAATAGGTTTGAGAATATACAACTTGCAAGCATGAGAATCAACAGTTGCTGTCAAGTTCCCTACAAACTTTTGCTTCAATGTCTTGTGCTGTTCTCATATCACAACAAAATACATTCATCAGAAAAAAACATTTGATTTATCTTAGTGGTGTTTGGTTTTATATAAGTATGTTTGTGTATATACCTCCCATAGATCTCTGGCTTCAACAATGCTATTTGCAGGGATGTCAATATCATCCCAAAAAGCAGTAATGGCAGATCGTGTTGGTCCACGGTTCAATAAAAGCAAAACTACTCTGTAACCTGACAATGGTCCTGCCCAAACCTGATTCCATTTCCCCCATTCATTACCACCAAAACATTGTTTTGTTTAGATGATAAAGAATATGTATATAGATGGAACAGTAATACTGACCTGGATATCACCTTCCATTCTAGCTTTCTTGGCCTGAACACCATGTGGATCTACAAGAAATGTTTTATTTGTCTGTCATATATTACTCAAAACATGTTTTTTTGTAGGAATCATTTTGATGGCTCAAAACAGTAACTAACTACCTTGGTTTATAGCAATGACTTCCTTGTTTGCCACAATCTCCATTGTCTCTTTGGTCATGTTTCTTATGTCACAGCCAAGTAGAAGAGGAGCCTGTGATATATATACACACACATCATTGGTTATAGACTTGATATAATTTTCTTACAGGTATTTACATACCTTTGAGATTGCCCATATGCTAAAATGAACTATGTACTCATCTTTGGTCATCCCTCCATTTCCAACTTCAAGCATATCCGGATCTGCAACCAACAACAAAGTCACCCACCACTCATCATAACCTTTCACAAAATCTGCATTTTTTTCTTGTCTTGATGGTATCATTAGACTACCGTTCCAGCCACCAGGCCTTGCATGCTGAGCATAGATTTCATTCATGTCTGCAATGGAGATCATACTGTACAAAGAGAATTGTAAAGATCAGGAAATTTCAGCGGTTCTTCAAGAAACATCTCATTATCTTTTTTTTTTCTTGCGTTCTTCTTTACCTAAGCCAACTATCATTGATGTCATTAGTAGTTCTCCAACTGTTGCCTATTGGAGCTCCCCATAGAGCTGGATGCATATCCCCCCTGATAACAAACCAATTCAAAAGTCTTACTTCTTCCACAGAAACATCTAATAGACACACAAGGATTCTTTTGAAAGGGAACATGACTGATACCATTCACACAAGGAGTGAAAGATAGGGCGGCCAGATTTCATCAGTGCCCGGGTCATAACTGGATACCTGACCGTTGGTCTCGTACCATCATTGTTGCAATTGTCATACTTCAAGTAATCTATTCCCTGAAGGTCGAACCAAGCATTTGTTACTCTCTCATTCTTTTTCACTTTATGAAGAGAATGTCAGAAAACACACAAATGTACCCATTCTGCAAATGTCTTGGCATCTTGCTCCTCATGGCCTAGAGAGCCAGGCATGGTTTTGCTACATGTCAAATACCTGTAAACCAAACAGTGATGAGGCCAATGCGTATGATAGTGAAGCAAAAGCAATAAAAGTGTGTAACTACCCTGCATCAGAGTAAATCCCAAGCTTAAGGCCCTTGCTGTGTACATAATCCGCAAGGGCTTTGATACCAGAAGGGAACGTTGACTTCTTTGGCACCAGTTTTCCCTGGGAACCACATTGATTAACAAGATAATAATCTAGCAAAAGTTCATAAACAAAAGAGAGAACAAAGAGCTGATGATAATACATTTTTGTCACGAGCAAGTTCAGCCCAGCAATCATCTAAGGAACAAACCAAAGATTTTAAAGATTAATCAAACAACTTGAGAGCTAATACAATGAATGTGTGTATATAGAGTCATTACCGATGTTAACATAGTTGTAACCGAGCTTAGAGAGGCCAGTGGTAACTAAAGCATCAGCTGTTACAACCATATGATTAACAATTTGTTCAGAAGACAGAGAAGACTACTACATATATGAAAATTAATATAAAAAGTGAAAAGTTCACCAGTTTCTTTGATGACTGTTTCATTTATGTTACAGTTGAAATGGTTCCAGCTATTCCACCTGCAAAATCATTTTCATTCAGACATCATCAATAACACAACAAAGACATGTTCCACAGAGTGAGAGAGAGAGAGGCACAGACCCCATGGGAGGAGTGACACCGAGGCCATTAGCGAGCAAATGTCTTCTTAAGATCTCAGAGTCGTCACGGGATCTTTGGACTGATCTAGACGAGTCTACCATCGTCATCAACGTTGATGACATCATAACCATCATGATAAGTATTGTCATCTTCACCATTTCATTTTTCTCTATTCTCGCCATCTCTGCAAAAGCTCTCTAGTGGACGAGAAAGAAGATTGTCCACGAACACTGCTTTTTATAGTAGAAGCTCACAAAAGGCTCAAGAGTGTTCTATAGTTTCTGCTTATTCCTTTTTTGCCCCTCGAACTCTTTTATCTACACTTGAATACATCACTTTTTAAAAATTACTTTTCAAATGAATTTGAAGTCCACAATAACACCAAAGGTTTTTTTATACTTCTAATCTTATAAGAAGATTATTATAATAAGAAATTTCAAAGCTATGATAGAAAATCAATTTATTAGCAAAAAAATGGAAAACAGTTAAGAAAAAAAAGAAAGCTCACAATTCTTGGACTTGTAGCTGATGAGATAAGGAAATAACACTGACTTTTTGTGGAAGCAAAGGCGAAATTTAACACACATGTTTCTGGTTCCTTCTAATAAATGTTGTCTTTTTGTTGTTGTTTTTATATGTATATTCAAATACTTCTCAGCGACATTTGATTGGAAAACTATAACGACCACCAGTTTTAAAACTGATTATATTTTCAAACTATTACATCATGCTTTTTGTTTGCATATATAAACCTCATTTTCTATTTTCGTTATAAATTTTAGTTTCATTAAAGAGTTTTCAATATTATTTACTTATTAGTCTGTGACGGCAAAAAGACAAGTTATTAGCTTGTCTTCTTCTTTTCGAGTTCCATTCTACATTATCTTCTTTGTTGTTATTGTTAACGTAAGACAAATCATGGCCAAAATAAGAGAATCAAATATCCGAATACAATAGTATATTTCTCTTGGAGATTTGAGGTAAATAAATAAGAGTATCTATAGATCATATATTGGTATCCCGTTGTGTATGATTACTCAGTTTCAAATTTGTATATTAATTACTCAGTCTGATTATAGTAAAAAGATTTTATCTAAATATTGGTGAAACATTTATAAAAAAATGTACTCATTATAATAGACTAGGTTTGGGCTGTAGTCTGGATTTGTATCAATGTTATCACTATTTCAGTTCAAGGGCGTTGTTATGCATGCATTCTGGTTGAAGAAAATGATCAAGTTTACACAAAATATATGTTTTTGAAGGTTTACAAAACATGTCATAGAAAATTAAACTAAACACATCTAACATATATAATGAATCAATAAATTAAAGTTACTATTATACATTAATTAGATCGAATGAGAAGAAAAAAGTCAATATATATATCGTCCGTTGATCAAATATCAACTAACGAGATAACCCTTGTTGCAATCCATCACAATTCACATGTACCAATAAGACGTTGAATACTCTAAAAACGGATAAGGATTCAACATATTTCAGATACTTTGAACATATCATCTCTAGCTTATGTATTTTTACCTTTTCACATTAGGTGCTCAGTTTGGTAAAGAGAACATTACAATTCCCCAAAAAACCTAATTAAACCTGATTCACAAGTAAACTCCTCACAAAAAGGAGAGAATCCACTGTAGCTTCATGAATTAACTCTTCGACCCACCTTCTTCATATTCTCTCCTTCTCTCTCACTCTCCTATACTATAAAATAGCTTCCTCATGTCTCAATGATGTTTTATTCACTCATTACTCAACGCTATTTATTCGTTCAAGCAAGCATCATCAACATTCATCAGAGAAAAGAAGAAGAAAATGTCGGACTGGGGACCGATTCTAGTGACGGTGATACTCTTTGTGATGCTTACGCCAGGACTTCTGTTTCAGTTGCCTGGACGACAAAGATACCTTGAGTTTGGTAATTTTCAGACAAGTGCTGCCTCCGTTATCATCCATTCTCTTATCTACTTCTCCCTTGTCTGCGTCTTCCTCCTCGCCCTCAAGATTCACATCTACATCGCCTAGTTTTAACCCTTTATTATGTATTATGTGTTTTCCTTTTTAAAAGTTTATAACCTTATTAAATCGTTTTCATATGGTCTAATCCTTTATATTGGACCCTTTTTGCATTATGAGTTTACCGTTTCTCTTCTCGTGAAAACAAAGATTCGTATTATTTATGCTTTTTTCTAAATAATCGTGTCATTAGTTGCCTTTTAATATGTTAGCTTAATCCCACAAGATGGAAAGTAAATGCACAGAAAAACACCATGAAAACATACATCTATCACACCTCGTTTCCAATTTTTGTTTTTACCTAAATTGCTGATGTCTTCACTTTTCATATTGAGTCCGATTGTTGAAACAACAATGTGTACCAAATTCGATTTTAGACATAAACCGATCATGAAACCAAACCGATACTCACCTATTAGTTGCACTTAAGCACCAACAATAAGTTCAAATCCAGTTAACAACTAGTCTACTACGACTGCATGCATGTTTTTTTTGGTTCACAACTTATCTCTATAATATTATTTGAGAAGTCACTTTCTTAGGTGTCGCGCTCACGTTAACTCTCACGATGGTTGATTACTATGATACCCCTAATGAATTAAAAATACAATTAAATATTATTTTCTTTTTAGAAATTTCCAAATAATAATATAAAATAAAAAGGAAACATTTATAAAATTTACAAAACTATATAAAAACGAAAATATAAGTATATATAATATGGTTTAATAAAAAAAGGAAAATTCAAAAAATAGTAATATTTAATTTAAATATATCTCTATAATATTATTTGAGAAGTCAGTTTCCTACGTGTCGCGTTCACGTTAACAATACTCTTAATAAACAAAAATATTAAATAAGATTAATATTAATAATGTATTTCCTTTTCTCATAATAAGATTTTACTTAATTTTTTAATTTATGTTTACTTTTTAAACACACATATACAAAGAAGAAATATTTCTGAAATAAAAATGTTTATATATAAACGAAATTAAATATTTTTTTTCGAAATTTTCATAAAACAACATTTTTAGTGTTTATTTAAGAGATATTAAAAAAGAAATTAATTTTTTAACACAAATAAATATTTTGATCAAATAATTTCAAAAAATTTTTAAATAGCGTAGCACTATACACTATTAATGAAATGAAAGTATAATATTTTATCATTATTAAAAATTCTTTTTAATATATAGTTTGCTTTTTAATTTTATGTTTTTTATGTTTATGGAACTTAATAGATAAATAATCAAAATACTCAAGTAAATCTAAGTTCTCATTTTTAAGATTGTTTAAAAAATTTCAATTTACCTTTTAAGAAATCTAAGGTATAAAATAATTTAGAATTTATAATATTTAATTATTGTAAATATTAATATGTTCTCATGAAATTTCAAATGTTTATCTTTATACTCATATTTATGATTGTAAATTCTTATTGATCGTCACTTTATTTTTTAATATATCTTAAAAATCAACATATGTCCAATTATTAAAAATCTTACAAAATACTTGCATTAAGCGGTAAATAAAACTAATTTGATTTGATTTAATTAGAAAAATATATATAACTCAATATACTCACAAAACGAGTAATGGAACGAATCTAACTTATATCAAAAATAAAAGATCTAACTACAACAAAAACATATAATTTTAGAATAATTATTTATTTATTTATTTTATACATATAGATTACAGGATGACTCAAAAATATCAATATAGAAAAAAAATTATTAACCAACTGTTATAATTCAGTTTTTTTTTGTAAAATTTATATATATATGAATGAGACTTCGGAATATTATCGTTATATTCATTTATATAATATTGTGTCAAAATTTCAGTTTGTTTTAAATTTTATTATAATCATAATATATATTAAGTTATACATAATCTTATTAAAAATATATTTACATATATAAGACGATAACCAATCTAAATACAATAATAATTAAAGTTTTAGCATATTTAGAAGGAAAATATTATAGTTGAATTCAGAAAAATAGATGCAATCTAAAATACACAAGTGTAACCAAATCGAATATTGACCAAAAAAGCAACCTAACCGATTAAATATAACATCTACTAAATCATATGTCTAATTAAAATAATCTAATATTATTAATATA